ACTCTCGTTATGTCGATATAACGAGAAAATTAAGTCGTTATAATGAGAAAACAACTCTCGTTATGTCGTTATAACGAGAAAACAAGAAGGGAAAAAAAAAATAATGCATGGCCGCTTAGAACTTCCGTACTTTTGAGATTAAAAAGTTGGAATTAACTTTTTTGAGAATTTTTTTATCCTGTGATGGAAACAAGCTTCCAAAGAACCCTGTCATTTGGTACATTACTGTAATATTATAAAGTTAAAATGAACAACTTGTTCGTATCAAACATTTAAATTGCACATAAAGCAGTTTTTAGCATAATTTTTTAAAGGATATAATTCTGATTCTACTCCAATTTTTAGTTGAAATATAAATATTTAAACGGTAGCTGTTATAAAATGTTAGATTTTTTTTCAAACCTACATTAAATGTTGAAGAACAGGTTAAGTAAAAATATAATGAATATGTAATATAGTGCACATATTCATCAAAATGCTCCTCTCTAGAGTTATTTTTCTAGCCAACTAATGAGTTTATGGACATTGAATGGCTTTCCTGAGGTAAATGTAACGTTATACGTGACATTGTTTACAAACAGCGGTTGAAACGCTGACTGATTGATCGATTAAATGAGAAATGGTTTATTTCAGTAGGTTGTTCTGCTTCTTTCAACAACTTCTGATGTTCAGTCTTGTTTATTTGGTGCTGTAACTATAAGTAAAGCAGAAGAGATGATTGGTTCATGTGCGACTACAGGCCACATTAAAGAGCGTCACAGCCACATTTATTGTTTGCATTTTGTGATGAAATATACAGAATTTTAAAGCGCATGCTTTTTCATATCAAAAGTAACGAAGGACAAAGGTTATTGTGTTTATGAATAGCTAAAAGTTTGATAATGGCATTTAGACCTGGTGCTTGTGTTTGTGGCTACTCAGATGGAGCAAGAGATCTCACGGTTTCAGCGTAAGATGACTGACCTGGAGTCAGTCCTCCAGCAGAAAGATGTGGAGCTCAAAGCCTCCGAGACCCAGAGGAGCATCCTGGAGCAGGACCTCGCCACCTACATCACCGAATGCAGCGTGAGTGACGCTCAGACTCTCATTCTAGTGTAATAATAGTCACTCATTAATCATAATACACTTTATTTATAGAGATGAGCAGTCTGTGCTTTAAATGAGTAGAATGATTTGGCACAAAGGCCAAGTAATTGGCAAAATATCAGGGGGAAAAAACATTCTGTAGAAAGTATGGAGGACCAAACCTGCAGAAATCAAAAATGTATAAAAAATTTTTTAAATAAAAATAAATAAATGAAAACAAAAACAATTGATTTTTAATTCAGTTTAGTTCTGATTTTATTTGTGATTTATTTTCGTTATTTTAACTGCATTTTTTATTCTTTTTATTTTTAATAAATTTTTATTTATTTAAGTGTATGTATTTATTCCCACAGTCATTTATTTCCAAATTTAAATAATGCAATTTATTTATGTGCATAATTCATAAAAATAAATATGCAAATAAACAAAAAATTAAAAGAATAAAAAAAAGTTGGAAAATAAATACACAAAATTAAAAAAAGGAAAAAGTAGTAAAAATTAAGACTAAATATAATTAAAAATGAATTGTGTTTGTTTTATCAAGTCATTTATTTCTTTATTTTTCTATTACATTAATTTTAAATTTTAGCAGTTTTGGACCTCCATAAGAAAGATGGTTAACTGTTGTTTAGTGCTTTAGTCATCCATTGTCTAAAACATCAATTGCTATATTTCCATGGATCTTGATCCTCAACACAACACAAGCTATGTTTCTATCCAAAGTTACAAATTAAACCAGAATATAAGCATTGGTTCAGCTGTGTTTGGGGAAAAAATGCAGTAATTTGATTTCAGAATGAACACAAACTGACTCATGTATGTAAATGAAAGGCAGTTGCTGTTTTGTTTCCATCCACATATTTTTATGCAAATTTTGGAGCAGCGCATAAAAAACCTAAATCATGGAAACACCAAGATGTGCTTAAAATGTTCTTATTTGGCACATTTTTTTTTAAATTTGGTAAGAAAACGTGTTCACAAACTACAACGGAAACACTTACAGAATAGCATTTGTTATTGCATTTCACCTACACGCTCCGAGCCACAAATCATTATTATGTGGGGGGAAAAAAATCTTTTTAACATTTTATTACTGATACTTTAAACCAGTTTCCCAGGAAGTGAAGATTTTGTTTTCTTAAGCACACGGAAAGCAAGTGGTGTTTATTTGCAAATATTTTATGCAATAATATATACGTTTTATTCACAACTAATGTTGTGTTTGGGGATCAAGATCTACTCTTTTAAAAGTGCTGAAGCCAAACGACTTTCATCTCATTGTAGATGAACTCACACTGAACTCCAGAGCATTACTTTTGATCATATGCATCTAAAAATAAACCGAGCCATTACTACTAACTGACAATGAGAAGTGTCCAAAGTTACAGAGTATCCAAAATTATTGGATACTCAACGTACTGAAATAATCAGAAAGAAGTTCCTTGTGATTCCCACCTTTTATTAATATGGTCACAGATATATTGTGCATCCTTATCCATAATAGATGCACAGCATTATTCACTATTGTTGCATTAACATCGTGACCTTGTGATTTTAGTATATTAGTAACATTGAACATTTTTCTTCAAGCCTGGTCAAAATTAAGTCATTAAAATGTTTTCAATATAAACCTAGATTGGTCTAATTTGAGATGAAGAAGTAAGGCTGATTACCCCTTGGCTAACTGCTAGTTGTTTAGTTCTCGGCCACAGGAGTGTGTGCTTTCCCTCTGACAGCAGGACTTTATCAGTACACTCTCTGATGGACGTATCTATTGTTTTATATCTAGAACAGCAAAACTGACTCGATTTCATATCTGCACTCTTGATGTTCTGTCTTTAATGCAAATACACCTGCTGATAAAAGCACTCTTGGCACGCTGTTCATTTTTTGTTCTGACCTTGCGTTCCAACCAATGCTGCATCTCAACATAACAGACGTGTGTGTGTGTGTGTGTGTGTGTGTGTGTGTGTTTAGAGTCTGAAGCGCAGTCTGGAGCAGGCTCGTGTTGAAGTATCGCAGGAAGATGATAAAGCTCTCCAGCTCCTCCATGACATCAGAGAACAGAGCAACAAACTCCAGGAGATCAAGGAGCAGGTGAACAACCGCACTTCACCACACCATTACTGTGAGATCCTCGCTTTAGATTTTAACAGCTATTTTACTATTAATTGATTCCTGTGATCAAAGCTGAATTTTCAGCATCATTACTCCAGTCTTCAGTGTCACGTGATCTTTCAGAAATCATTCTAATATGCTGCTTTGCTGCTCGAGAAACATTTCTGATTATCAATGTTGAAAACGGTTGTGCTGCCCAATAGGGTACTTGGGGTGGTTAGAGCGGTTGCTAGGGTACCCGGGGCGGTTTCTAGGGTGTTGCTATGCGGTTGCTAGGGTACCTGGGATGGTTGCAAGGGTGTTGCTATGCAGCTGCTAGGGTACCCGGAGTGGTTGCTATACGGTTGCTTGGGTACCCACGATGGTTGCTAGGGTACCCGGGGTGGTTGCTATGGTGTTGCTATGCGGTTGCTAGGGTACCCGGGATGGTTGCTAGGGTGTTGCTATGCACTGAATGATTGAGGCCAGTCTGAGGAGACTCGTCTAAATGCCGGCTAATCGCTAGTCATCACGCATCTTAAAGTTCCTCTGCAAGCAAATCATGTTGCTTTTACCTCGGTTTCCACGTTTATTGGTGGTTTTCCTTTCTGCATGTAGTCGTTTGTTCAGTATAATGTGCTGTCAGTGATTGTGACAAACACACGTTACAGTGTTCTTACTGACTACTGCACTGGTTTGATTTCCTGTAGTCTCTGGTTACATACAAACCATTGTGATCACTGTGATTTTGCCCAGTAGGATGTGATCAACATGGTTTGTTGGTCTTGGAAAAATATTTCTGCCAATTGGTTTCTAGGGTGTTGCTATGCGGTTGCTAGGGTACCCACGATGGTTGCTAGGGTACCCGGGGTGGTTGCCATGGTGTTGCTATGCGGTTGTTAGGGTACCCGGGATGGTTGCTAGGGTGTTGCTATGCACTGAATGATTGAGGCCAGTCTGAGGAGACTCGTCTAAATGCCGGCTAATCGCTAGTCATCACGCATCTTAAAGTTCCTCTGCAAGCAAATCATGTTGCTTTTACCTCGGTTTCCACGTTTATTGGTGGTTTTCCTTTCTGCATGTAGTCGTTTGTTCAGTATAATGTGCTGTCAGTGATTGTGACAAACACACGTTACAGTGTTCTTACTGACTACTGCACTGGTTTGATTTCCTGTAGTCTCTGGTTACATACAAACCATTGTGATCACTGTGATTTTGCCCAGTAGGATGTGATCAACATGGTTTGTTGGTCTTGGAAAAATATTTCTGCCAATCAAACATAGTCCTAACCCATAGTCCACTAACTACTGGTTCTGTGTATGTGTGCATGAACATGAGCTCAAGGCATTATGGGGGATAATATTTCACTCACTTAGCTATTAGTGGATAATCTTGTGCTGGCAAACCTGTGTCGAGCTTGTTTTTAAACCCAGAGTATGTTGGGATGTGAGAACGGCTTTGTCACAAACCAGCAGGATTTACAGAGAAGAACAGCAGCAAACTGAACCTTCAGATGAAGAGAGATCTTTGTTTTGTGTGCGAAAGTTTTGAGTTTTTAAAAATGTTTCCAGCCTGACTGTTTCCTGTTTTCCATTGCTATCTATACATCTGGCCAAAGATTTTATGAAAGAAGCTTACCAAGGCTGCATTTATTTGATCAAAAAACAGTAAAAACTGTGAAATATTATTATAATTTAAAATAGCTGTTTTCTGTGTGAATATGTGTTAAACTGTAATGTATTTCTGTGATGCGCAGCTGTATTTTCAGCATCATTCCTCCAGTCTTCAGTGTCACATGATCTTCAGAAATCAGTATAATATGCTGATCTGCTGCTCGAGAAACATTTCTGATTATTATCAATGTTGAAAACAGTTGTGCTGATTAACATTTTTGTGGAAACTGTGATACATTTTATTTTTCAGATGAATAGAAAGTTCAAAAGAACAGCATTTATTTGAAATAGAAATCTTTTGTAACATTATAAATGTCTTTACTGTCACTTTTGATCAATTTATTTCATCCTTAATGAATAAAAGTATTAATTTCTTTAAAAAAAAACTTATTGACCACAAACTTTTGAACAGTAGTGTATACTGTAGCTACCAACATTTATGTAACATTTAACATGTTTTGTTTGCTGCTATAATGTAGACATGTTGTTATTTTTGAAGATACCTGTAGAGAACTAGATTTCTTGCACATCTGAAGAACATTGGTGTTTGCTTGATGATAACTGCAGATTACTAAAAGGCCTCCATTGTATGTGAGTGTTTATTAGCATGCTGGATGTTTTGGTCTCGTTATGTTGCAGTAATTAAGTGTCTTACTGGTTGACGTCTCGGCAGATCTGATCCACAAAAAAGCCTTCACTGTCAGTCTCCTTCGATCAATATCAGCCCGATGCAATCGCCACATCTTCCTCTAACAATCAGTCCCTACACACACACACACACACAAACACAGAAAACCCACGTGCGTACACACACACACACTGACACTCTCTCTCACACACACACACTGACTCTCTCTCACACACACACTGACTCTCTCACACACACACATCAACACACACTCTC